GTGGGTGTGACAGCTGCAGAGATGGGGGTGGCACCTGCAAAGACACTGGGGCCCGTGCGGTGTGTCTTCACCTGCCCCCTGCTGCTGGGAGTCACCTTCTAACATTCTCTCCTGATGGCTCTCCAGGCTGTCCTGCAGCCTCATTGGCACAGCCCGAGGCATGCCACCTGGTCACACAGACCTTCATTAGGGAGCGCAACAGTAGCAGGTGTCAGAGCTGAGAGAGAGGAAAAGAGTTTCAATCCCCACTGGAGGGCGAAGATCATTTTATGCATTTCCATTTAAAGGGAGAAGTGAAGAGCGTGAAATCACACACCAGCCGGGAGAAAGCGTCCAAACCAGAGGAAGCTTGACAGGAGCAGGCACCGCAGCTTCCAGGCCAGGGCTCCCAAAATTAGAAGCTTCCGGGGAGAAATCGGATGCGTGCGCAGCGACCCCATCTTGTCTGGACTTCTGCCCCAAGCCCAGCCCCAATGACTGCTTGGTGTCTCCACTTGGACCCGCCTCGGGCTCTCAGCTCACTGTGCCCCCAACTCAGCTTATCATCCTTCTTCCAAATCTTCTCTTTTCACGGGGTGACTCCTCCCCAAGCCAGGAACCCAGTATCCCGGAGGCTCCCTCCCACTCAGAACCCCAGTAGCCACTCCACATCTTAGCCCAGTCAGTTCTCGCTGCCTCCACCGCCATGACCTTCCTCTGGCTCTCATCATCTCGTGCGTGGACCAGGGCAGTAACGCCTGCTGACCAGCTCCCAGTCCAGTCTCTGTTTTGCCCTCAGAATGTTTTTCTTAGTAAATGCAAATCCGATGATGGAACTTCCCTTCTTAAAGTCCTTGAATACTTTCCTTCTACTTTCTAAAGATTTATTATTATTATTAAAGATTTATTTATTTATTTGAAAGAGTTACACAGAGAGAGGAGAGGCGGGGGGTGGGGGTGGGGAGAGAGTGAGAGAGAGGTCTTCCTTCCACTAGTTCACTCCCCAGATGGCCGCAACGGCTGGAGCTGTGCTGATCAGAAGCCAGGAGCTTCTTCCAGGTCTTCCACGTGGGTGCAGGGGCCCAAGGACCTGGGCCATCTTCTACTGCTTTCCCAGGCCATAGCAGAGAGCTGGATTGGAAGTGGAGCAGCCGGGTCTCGAACTGGCACCCATATGGGATGCCGGTGCTTCAGATTAGGTTATTTGAGAGGTAGGGTTACAGAGAGAGGAACACACACACACACACACACAGCTCTTTCATCCACTGGTTCATTCCTCAAATGGCCGCAAGGGCTAGAGCTGGGCCAATCTGAAGCCAGGAGCCAGGAGCTTCCTCCAGGTCTCCCATGGGGGTGCAGCGGCCCAGGGACTTGGTCCATCTTCTGCTGCTTTCCCAGGTACATTGGCAGGGAGCTGGATTGGAAGTGGAGCAGCCAGGACACAAACAGGTGCCCACATGGAATGCCAGTGCCGCAGGAAGAAGTCTAACCTACTAGGCCACAGCACTGATCCCTGGTGCTCCACCTCCACACTCACCTTGCTGCCTCCCCTACCTACTTCTGGAGAGCAGGGATCGTGTGTTGCTCACTGCTGGGTCCTCAGAGCCTAGGCTGCACCTGACACAGATGCCCATGGCATGTGTGAGCTGTGAGTGGTCTTGCTCTGCAGCGAGAACTCGGGGACAGCTGGGGTGACTTAGTGACCTTGCTTCTCCCAAGGGATCTGGAACCACTGCCTGGGACAAGTCCTGGGCTCCAGATCAAGGGGACAAACCGAGTGCCAGCACTGAAATCCATCAGGAGAACAGATGAGTGATAAAAATATAAATGTCAAGGGCATCACAGGAGAGACGTCACTGCCTGCTCGTGGCATTGGAGGGAGGCCAATTCTGCAGGCCGCCCTTTCCTGAAGAATGGCTTAGGCGTTAGCGCTGTAAAGCCCAGGCGAGAAAGACACCAGCAGTGTGGCTGCTGCACAGGACACTTTGATAAAAAATGAGACGAAATCCACATCACACAAACTTCACCAGTTTAGTGGCACCTAGCATACACGCGACGTGTGCAACCGTCACTGCTATTCAGAACATGTTCACCCCAAAAGGAACCCTTGTATCCATTAACTAGTTACTCCACCTCCCCCTCTCCTTCCAGCCCTGACAGCCAGGAATCTATGCACTGTCTCTCTGGGTTTGCCTACTCTGATTGTTTCAAATAAATGGAATCCTACAATATGTCACGTGGTCTGGCTTCTTTCACTTAATGTTTCTGTAATGCTCATCCACATTGGAGTGCGTTTTGTAACGTCAGTTCTTTCTTTGGCTGAGTAAGATCTCATTGTGTGGCTATACTATACTTGTTTATCCACTCACTGTTGATGGACATTCATGTCTTGTCCACGTTTTGGCCATTGCAAACATCTGGCTGCTACGAAGATTTGTGTGCAAGTTTTTGTGCAGATATAGGTTTTCATGTCTCATGGGTATATAGCTGGAAGTGAAATTGCTGGCTGAAACATTTAAGAGTTTCCAAGGAACTGGTTTCTATGGAAATATCTCTTGTGGGACTCCAGACTTAGCCCCTGCACCCCTGCCCAGTCCCGTAGGAGCCAGACTTACTGTAACAAGGCCTTGCATCTCCCAGGGCACTGGGCACCTTGTGCTGGGCATTGGGACTGCAAATGGGTAAAGCCTGTGTCTCTGCCCTGCCCCCGCTCACCACCCAGGGTGGGAGGCAGGCACAGGTCAGGATCGCAAGATGAAGGCCATCCTGGGGCCAGAGCTGCAGGGCAGAGGTATGGGGAAAGGAGCATCAGACATGTTATGTGTGAGCCGAGACCTGAAGAATGCGCAGGAGCTTCAAAAAGCTCATGGGGATGAGGTGAAAAGATTAAAAAAAAAAAAAGGAGTTTACATCCATTTATTCATAAGATATATTTTCCACGGACTTTTTGAAAACCCTTGGTATGCATAGACTTGGAAGTTATTGCACCAAGGCAAACATCTTTTCATTCAAATTTCCATGAACTTTTTGAAGACCCCTTATACATAGGAGTTTCCTAGAGGTGGAGGGCAGAAGGGTGTAAATTTCCAGGCAACTGGAAACAATGAGACATGTGAGAAGGCATACCATGTTCAGGGACTAGACATGACTGCTCTTATCTATTGCGGGCAAACATTCGGAGGAGGAGTGCAGGCTACGAGGTAGATCAGGCGGCTGGGCTCAGCATGCCTGCCGCTGGGACATGCCAAGACCCTGCTGTGTTCTCAGCTGTCACTTCTGGCCTGCTCTGCTCCTCAGACTCACACCTTCAGGATGCTATAATCAGTGCTTGCCGGACTCCCATCCGCCTAGACTTCTGCACAACACTTAACCCCAGACTGGGCCCAACCTGCCCTTTCTCCGCCTGGAAGCCAGCCTTCTTGTTCTCCTACCCTGGATTTTCTACAGAAAGAAACCTGTTCAATAAAATGGTTCCCTGAACTCTGGCCTGTTTCCCCTCCTCCCTCCTTGCCTGTGAGATGTGGACACAGTTTTTTCCCTCATCTGATAGGTAAGTGGAAAGAAGTAGACTACATGTGGACAAGCTCGCCTAACAGTTCTAGAAGACAGAACCTGTGATATCCCAAAATGCAGAGCTGCACAGAACCCCTGCCTGTGCAACAGTGACAGGGAACAACACATCTTAAGCGGTGTGTGTCTGGAAGCTCAGCTCCACCCGAGGCTGTGTCTCTACTTTCAGATGTCTCCCTATTTTTAGATGTTGACTCGGTTGCTATCCAACTGGTTGTGCTTTTACAACGCCTGCAGTGAAGTCCCTAACATTAGGAATCAGACATCTAAGAGCTTTAGAAAGTGGGTGAATTGGAACTCTCTGCACTGCTGGTGAAAATGAGCAGCCACAATGGAACACACTTTACAAGGACGGTGACCAGCGTCAGAGACAGAGACAGGCTAAGGGTCAGAGAAGCCACAGGCTCAGGTGGTGATGGTCTAAGCTGGTGACAGCAGAACACAGCTCATGGGCCAGATCCAGGCCGCCACCTGTTTGTATGTCCCAGGAACTGAGAACAGATTTCACACGTTTTCAGATCATTGAAAAAGTGATGTGGACATCACATAAATCCAAATTTAAAGTTCATAAAAGTTTAAATTTGTTTAAATTTAAATGTATAGAAATGTGTTTTCTCTCTTGGCTCACGATTATGGCCATAACATCCTTAATTTTCCTTCTTGGCCACCAAAGCTTAAATTGTTTGCTATCTGGCCCTTTACAGAAATAGTTTGTCATTGCCTTCTCTAAACAATTAGCCTCTAGAGGGCTAAGCCTCTGCTTGCAGTGCCAACGTCACATATAGGCACCAGATCTAGTCCCAGCTGCTCCTCTTCCGATCCAGCTCTCTGCTACGGCCTGGGAAAGCAGCAGAGGATGGCCCAAGTCCTTGGGCCCCTGCACCCATGTGGGAGACCTGGAGGAAGTTCCTTTCTTGGTTCCTGGCTTCTGATGAGCCCAGCTTCAGCTATTGTGGCCATCTGGGGAGTGAAGCAGTGGTTGGAAGGCTCTCTCTGTCTGTAACTCTGCCTCTCAAATAAATAAAAGCTTAAAAAAACTAGTTAGCCTCAGGGTGCTTTAGGAACACCCTCCACCAGCCCTCAGCACCCCAATACTCACATAAGTGCAAGCAGGCCATCTCTGCCCTGCTGAGTGACAGCATTTCTAGTGGAGAAGGGAACAGCCACCAGTGACAGTCCCTCACCAGCACTGAATTAATACTCTGTCTCCAGTATTCTCCCACCCCTTACACACCTCCCATTCTTGATCAGAAAACTCAGGAAAATGCATAGCAACCCCAGTTCACAAGAAGATGAACAACCCTCCCTGAAATCCACATGAGGATGGGCTAGTCTTGAAATCTCATTTACTCAACACCTGCTATATGTCGGTACTTCAAAACATTTGTGGAGGGAGCTCTCCCTCTTTGTCTCTAGGCTTCCAAAAGAATCAAAATGAACATACAAGCAAAAATTTAACAGATCAGTTTATCTGGGTGCAAAAATTCTTCAGAAATCCATGCATAGCTTTGTCATACCATGCATTTGTCACCATGACCTTCTTGGACGTACCATCACGTTGTAAGGTATAACATGAGAAATAAGAAGTAAGTTAGCTGAGACTCAGAAATAAACTAAATAAAACACGTCCACATATGCACAGTTTCCTGGACACCACTAGCACAGCTGGACTTTTGTTTTTAATTGTTATTGCTGTTGATTGCAAATCACAGAAACTAGACTTGGAGTGAATTAACTACCCAGGAAATCATTTTTCTCCCCGAGTTGGGTCAGTCGCAAGTACTCCAAGCCCACTGGACGGCTTCTTGATGTTTTGACATCCCATTTTCCTTCCTCTGTCCTTCTGCTCCTCCTCCCTTGTCGTGTGGCTTTGTGTCTTGCAGCACGAGAGGGCTCTGCATTTCCAGGCATCACAACCATGAGCAGGCAGCATAAGTGAGGAAAAGAAGAGATGGAAAGATGAGGTTGCCGGCGCCGCAGCTCAATAGGCTAATCCTCCGCCTGCGGCGCTGGTAGACCAGGTTCTAGTCCCGGTCAGGGCGCCGGATTCTGTCCTGGTTGCCCCTCTTCCAGGCCAGCTCTCTGCTGTGGCCAGGGAATGCAGTGGAGGATGGCCCAGGCCCTTGGGCCCTGCACCCGCATGGGAGACCAGGAGGAAGCACCTGGCTCCTGGCTTCGGATCAGCGTGGTGTGCCAGCCACAGCGGCCATTGGAGGGTGAACCAACGGAAAAGGAAGACCTTTCTCTCTGTCTCTCTCTCTCACTATCCACTCTGCCCGTAAAAGAAAGAAAGAAAGAAAGAAAGAAAGAAAGAAAGAAAGAAAGAAAGAAAGAAAGAAAGAAAGAGAAAGGAAGAAAGAAAGGAAGGAAGATGAGGTCAACTGGGTCCTCCCTTTGGCCTGTGTCTCACGGTCAGAACTGCATCAGCTGTGCTCCCTGGCTGCAGAGGAGTCTGGAGAGCTATTTATTTTGAGTTGAGTGTGTAAACCTCAGAAACTTCATGGGAAAATGATATGAAAAGACGCATTTGTCTTGTAAAATTTTTTTAAAGCCACACATAATTTTTTCATAATATATATTTTCCAAAAATGTTTGCATCAAGCTAAACTTATTTAAATCTTTAAAATTTCCTTATGTATTTTATTTGGAAGGTGGAAACAGAGCAAGACAGACACAAACACCTACAATTTTGCTGCCAGGTAGAAACTAGGAGCCCAGAATTCAATCCAGGTGTCTTATTTGGGTAGCAGGTGTAGCAGGAAGCAACCAACTGAAGCTGGCATTGCAGGTGGTGAACGAATTCACCGGAGCCATCAGATAGAGTTAGATTTATTGAACACACTGCAAGAGAGCAGCAGCTAGAATCTGACAACTGCTGCCATGTGCAGTGAGGGAACAGTGGGCAGGTCAGCCTCGGGCTGTCCATAGCACAAACACTACAACCCAAGGAAGCATACTTGTAATTGCACTATCTTCCTAATTAGGGTGGAAACTTCCCATAATCCAACAGATTTTCCAGGTGGGTGATTTGCATTTCTGGGTCGATCTGGGGAGCCTGCAGCGCCCTTAGCTTTGGAACCTTCCCAGTGCCCTGGGGCAACCGTCCAGAGCAGGGACTTAGTTACTTGAGCCATAACTTGCTGGCTCCCAGGGTGCACACGGGCAAGAATCTGGATGGGAAGTGACAAGCTGGAATCATAAGTAGAGCTGAACTCCAACAGAGGAGCTCCAATACGGGACACAGGCATCCAAGTGACGTCTTAATCATTATGCCAAACACCCAGTTCTACGCTTATCTTTTAATTTCACTTCACACAAACTTTTTGTAAGGACATTTATTTATTACACATCTGAACAATGGAGAGAAAGAAAGAGAGAGAGAGAGAGAGAGAGAGAGACCATTTATCTACTCATTTACTCCCCAAATACCTGCAATTAGCCAGCGCTGGGCAGGCTGAAGCCAGAAGCCCTGAACTTATCCAGGTCTCCCATACAGGTGGCAGGGATCCAGGGATCCATCCTGGGCCATCCTCCACCGTCTTCCCAGGTGGGTTGGCGGGTAGCTGGATCTCAGCCACGACTCCAACCAGTGCTCCGATATGGGACGCTGGTGTCCCAAGCATCCCAGTCGGCAGCTTGACCCACTACATGACCACATCACCTGCTGTTTCATGTGAGCTTTTCAAAGTGTCCTCATACTTCCAGCCTGTTACTATTTACTGAGTGCCTACTGTATACCCGGAGTGCTATGTTTTCTTCTCTAACCTTCAGCAATACATGCATGAGGGAAATAAACTTCCGCCCAGGCAGCATGAGTTTAGGTGGGGCCCAGGACCTACTGCCTATTGTTTGGCCATTGCTTCCCCACTTCATGCCCTTGAATCATGAGGACCCCTCATCCGCAAGAGTTCTTTGAAAGAAAATACCTGTAAGAAAGCTCTTGGAGCAAGCAGTTTAGTAGTGGGCCCTGGGGCAGACAGTCGTAGAATCAGCACGGAAGGATGTCAAAGATAAGGCCTCTGCCTCTCACCACCTAGTAGGTCTTGCCCTGGGTTTAGTTCCAAGTTCTGAGTGTAGATTTAATCTAATTTCTACTCTTTCTTGCTTGATCTGCAAATTGGCGCAGCCATCTCAAGTACTTACGGAAATGTGTTAATGACACTCTGGGGACAAAGCAAAAACTGGTGCACACGGAGCTTCAGTGATCAATTAGGTCGGGATTGAGTTGACCTAGAACTGCTCAGGGAGAGGAGTGGGGGCTGGGCTCTCAGAACACTGGAGCCGCTGGCTCCTGAGTGAGGTGGGAGCCGGCTGGAGAACAAGCAGGTGCAATGGCCCAGACTCTGACCTTGGGAGAATCCTTTGGCCACAACACCCTGTGACTCTGAGTAGGGCCCCCACCCCACACCCCCAAACACATCCTGAGATTTTTGCTTTTGATTCCTACAAGTGCAATCTAAATGAAATATATACTCCTGGGGATGCTCTGAAAAATCTTAAGACTCCTTAAGACTCCCTCCATGAGAGGAATCCTGCTGTTCAGTGTCTCCTACAGGCACAAGGATGTTGTATTGTGTCATCATAGAAGTGACAAATTTGGGAACAACCAACGCTTTTGCTAATAAGAGACCAGTTAATTTATGGCGCAAATACATTTTTTTTTTGACAGGCAGAGTGGACAGTGAAAGAGAGAGAGAGAGACAGAGAGAAAGGTCTTCCTTTTTGCCGTTGGTTCACCCTCCAATGGCCACCGCGACTGGTGCGCTACGGCCAGCGCATCACGCTGATCCGAAGCCAGGAGCCAGGTGCTTCTCCTGGTCTCCCATGGGGTGCAGGGCCCAAGGACTTGGGCCATCCTCCACTGCATTCCCGGGCCATAGCAGAGAGCTGGCCTGGAAGAAGGGCAACCGGGACAGAATCCGGCACCCTGACCGGGACTAGAACCCGGGGTGCTGGCGCCGCAAGGCGGAGGATTAGCCTAGTGAGCTGCGGCGCCAGCGGCACAAATACATTTAAAAACAAGGATCCTCACCAGAATTTACTAACATGTAAAGGTTTTTCTGACCTGTAGTTATGTGGGGGAAAAAAAGCTATAACATAGTAGAGAAGAGCATGTAAGATTTGTATGAAATAAAAATATACACATAAGGATACTTCAAAAATTGTGTGGAAAGTAGAATTAAAAATGTTTATTTTGGTGCAAAAAAAAACCTTTAAAAATTTGTGAATAGTTTTTTCAGAACATGTATTTTCCATGAACTTTTGAAGATTGCTCAAATGCATGTATTTCAAGTTCTTTTGCACCAAAATACAATTACCTTTTAATTTCAATTTCTGTGAACTGTTTGAAATATCCTCATACATAAATATATATATACATATACTCATACATAAATATATATATGCATGCATATCTAGAAAAATACTAGCAAAAATGCAGAACATAATTGGAGACAAAGAGATGTCTGACAAATTTTTACTGAAATGTCAGCATTGGTTTATCTGCATGAAAAAGTCCAGGCAGAGCTAGATGTCTCCGTGTTGCTGTGGGAATTTGTAGATAAGCAAGGGGAGGAGGCTAGAAAGATCCATATGGTAATGGGTTAGAGTTGGAGGCATCAGTAAGACATCATGTTTGCTGAATACAGATGGTTACATATCAAAATATTTATAGTTCTGTGTTTACTCATGGGTTGGATTATAGATCTCTGTGTCTACTCACAGGTTACACATATTTTTTTTTTCTCTCTCTCAGCTGAGAGAGCTTGGAAAGAAGGATACTCACATAGCAGGAAGTGCATCTAACACCCAGATCTGATTCTCTTATGCTATTTTTCAATAAAAGGAAGGGGGTGGTGCACTTAGCACAATGATGAAGACGGGGCTTGGGATGCCCACATCCAGGAACAGAGCTCCACTTTCACTTCTGGGGGCTTGCTAATGTGTACCTTAGGCGGCATCAGGTGATGGCCCAAGTACTTGGGCTTCTACCATCCACGTGGGAGACCTGTGGCATTTGGGGAATGAACCAGCAGGTGAGATCTCTCTCTCTGAAATACATACAAAGGGATAGATAAGTATAGGTCAGAAAGTATACAAGATGAGCCTGCAGCATCCTGTCATGCCAGGAAATGAGGAAGTACTAAATTAAAAAAAAATTCACACAGATGAGAATTTATCACAGGAGCACAGGAACCAACTGATAGAACTCTCAGTGACCACTATCAGAACAACTTGAGCAAAAAATCAACAAAAATAAAGTGGTGTTGGACCATAACCCAAATTTAAGATAAGTATACATGAATCCATATAGATATAAATAAGTTAATGAATACATGAATAATGATAGGGCTGGAGAGAAGACCCAGATCTGCACGAAATAATTCTAAATAATCTGTGAACACACTCTGCCTTTAAGCACCATAACTCACTACTCCCTTTTCAATATTTATTTATTATTTTCATCTACTTGAAACACAGAGTGATAGACACCCACCCATACACACGCACACACACACACCATCTTCCATCCACTGGTTCACTTCCCTAAATGCTCATAATAGCCAGGGCTGGGTTAAGCCACAGCCAGGAGCCAGGAACTCCATCTGGGTCTCCCATGTGGGTGGTGGGGACCCAAGCACTTGGACCACCATCTGCTGCCTCCCAGGCTGCATTAGCAGGAAGCTGGGCGGGAGGTGGAGCAGCTGGGACACGAGCTAGTGCTCCAATATGGGATGCATTGTCCAAGTGGCGGCTTAACCCTCTGTGCCGCGACGCCCACCCCTACCACTCTAACTGTGCTCACCGACTTCCAAAGAGTAGGGTTTGGAAGGAAGGAAGGGAAGGAGAAAGGAAGAGAAGGAGGGAGGGAGGGAGGGAGGGAGACAAGGAGGAAGGGAGGGAGGGAGGGAGAGAAGCAGGAAGGGAGTTTTCCAGGGGAGAGATCGGACAGGCTGGCAGTCGAGGTCAACGGCTATCATAAACCACGTCAGCGTTACGTAACCCTGACCTGGTGTGATCAAAGTGAGACTGCACCTCCACGATCTTGCTCCTCAGAAACCTGTAACCGCGGCAGGCGTTGCCCTAGCTTCCGTTCCGCACTGGAGTTCCTGGGTTTGGTCCCTGGCACTGATTCCCGAGTCCAGCCTCTTGCTAATGAGGCCCTGGGAGACAGCAAGGATGGCTCAAGCGGTTAGGTTCCTGCCACCCACTTGGAGACACTGGCTGAGTCCCAGCTCCTGGCTTTGAACCAACACAGCTCTGGACACGGTGGGTGTTTGGAGAGTGAACCAGTAGATGGGAGCTCTGTCTGTCTCTTCCTCTGCTTCTCAAATTTTAAAAGAAGAAAAAGCAAAACAGGTGCGTGACCCCATCTAATCATGAGGAAAAACATCAAATTCGAGTAAGGAAGCATCCCTCAAAATGGCTGCTCAGGACTCCTTAAAATTGCCAAAGTTGGGGCTGGTGCTGTGGCAGGTAAAGCCACCACCTGCAGCACCAGCATCCCAGATGGGTGCCAGTTTGAGTCCTGGCTGCTCCACTTCTGATCCAGCTCTCTGCTATGGCCTGGGAAAGCAGTAGAAGATGAACCAAGTCCTTGGGCTCCTGCACCCACATAGGAGACCCGGAGGAAGTTCCTGGCTCCTGGCTTTGGATTGGCACAGCTCCAGAGGTTGTGGCCATCTGGGGAGTGAACAGATGGTTGTCTGTCTCTCTCTCTCTCTGCCTCTGTAACTCTGCCTTTCAAATAAATAAATAAATCTTTTAAAAAACTTGCCAAAGTCACGAAATACAAGGAGAGGTTGGGATAAGAAATATCCTCACCAGTTCACTCAGAGGATGGACTCAGACTCAGGAAACGCAGGAAAAGCGAGGCTTTGTGAGCGGGTTTGCAAGATCAGACGTGTGGCAGGCAGGCAGGCAGGCAGGCAGGCAGGCACGGCTGGTGCAGCTTCATCAAGCAATGTATTCCCGAGTTTGCAGGTCCCTCCCCCACTTCCTCACTGGTGAGAACTAGGAGGTTACAATCTTCCCGGTATTTGCTTCAGCTGTTTTGGCCACGCCTCACATCCTGGGTGCCCAGTGCAGGCAGCTTGGCTGTTACCGAGCTTAGCAACTTGTAATTTCCCACACAACTGCAGGCTGTTTCGCTAGCTAGTTGTCTACTTGCAGTGAAAACCCCTTACTTTGAAAATGAACCAAATGTCTTTACTTCTCACGGTTGGCAAACTGTTACAGCCAAGGGGAACCTAAGGAGACAAAGTTTCAGTAAATCTAAAGCTAATCTGAAAAAATAAAGTTTAAAAAAATTCCCATGAAATGATTTTTTTCTAAACAGAAGAATTAAACTGAATCCTTATTTCAACATATAACAGTAGAAAAAAGCAGTGAACACTTTGAAAATGAAGGTTATCCTTAAAAGGTTTTCTAATACGCAGGACCAAATTCTAATGTAGGGCTCAAGGTCAAAGTTCTTGGGCCTTCTTCAGGACATGGAAAAATTTCCCTGAACGCATCAGAGACAGGTGCCACCCAGATCAAGGGCAGGGGCTGAAGACTGTTCACGCTTCCTTCCTGAGCTCTTGATTTCTTTTCTGTCTTTCTCCCTTATTTTTTGTTTTAAGATTTTATTTTACTTATTCGAAAGGGGGAGAGAGAGAGAGAGAGAGAGAGAGATCTTCCAGTTACTGATTTACTTCCCAAATGGCCACATGGCCTGGGCTCGGCCAGACCAAAGCCAGGACTCCATCCAAGTCTCCCCCATGGGCGGCAGGGGCACAAGCACTTGGGCCATCTCCTGCTGCTTTCCAAGGCACATTAGCAGGGAGCCAGATCAGAAGCGGAGCACCAGGGACTTGAGCTGGCGCTCTGAGATGGCATGCCACTATCACAAGTAGTGGCTTAAGCCACCACACCACAACGTTGGCTCCTGAGCCCTTGATGTCTTTGGCATGTTTTGGGAGATGGCAGAGCTGAGGGTTGTCAGCTGCATTTGCAATGCTTTCCTCAGACTCTAGTCCATCTCAGGACTTGACCACAGTGTGCCCAAGGGACAGATCCACAGGAGCTTCTCAGAGAGGCACACAGACTGGCCAAAGGCCAAGGTCAAACCCCCTCAAAGTCGTGACCCACTGGGGATGACGGGACACCAGCAGGAGCCCTGGGGGTGAAGGACTGGTTTGCGAGGCATCGCAGGTCAGAGGGGAGAACGCAGAGAAGCAGAGCTTCTATCAGCCACGCAGAGGGGGGCAAGCCATGGAACTGCTTTATTTCTTCTTATTGATTTTGTATGTGTGCAGCTTGACGAAGCAGAATTCTAACAAGTTGTTTCCCTGGTGACCCAAGGAATATGCTACCAAAAAGAACTCTTTTAAACAGTCCGAGAAGTCCCTAACATTAGCACAAGGATTTAGAAGCAAGGTCAGAAAAATGACATCTTTGAAAACTATAAATGACAGAACGCAGTAGGTGACGAGTGGGATTAGCGCCCAGAGCTATTCATCCCCTGTAAGTCTTCCACCCTCCGGAGGCGTTTGGCAAACTTATTTTTCAGATAAGGACTGAGTGTCTCCCACATCCAGCCAAAGGCCCCGGGTATCTTCTGTGTCCCCACAGGAAACTCCTGATCTGCCGTGGACCTTGGCTGACTGAGATCACTTTGAAAATTGCATCATGCTAATGACAAATGCAAATACCCAGAGCCTAGAGACAGTGCATAAATAGAGAAGTCCCAGTCAGGGTTCTTTTTAAATGTTTGTTTATTTTCATCTACTTGAAAGGCAGAGTGAGGGCAAGAGCAAGAGAGAGAAACATCTTCCATTCGCTGCTTCCTTCCCCAAATGCCTGCGATAGCCAGCTAAGAGCCTGGAACTCTATCTGGGTCTCCCAAAAGTCTGGATGGCCGGAGCCCAAGCCATCGAATCATCATTCACTGCCTTCCAGGGCACATTAGCAGGAAGCTAGACCAGAAGCAGAGGAGAAACCGGCACTCTAATAGGATATGTGGGCATCCCAATCAGCAGCTTAACTCACTGCGCCCCAACACCTGCCCCATCAGGGTTTGTAAAATAGCTCCAACTCAGCAGCTGTATCAACTCGTGGCTCCTGGATGCTAGAAAAGTATCCTTTCCAGCTCTCCTGCAGCTGGTCCCCTGAGACTAAGTGACATTTCCTCCGACTGTTAAGTTCTCAGTCAGACCTCATGGCCTGGAGGGCAGGCACTGGGTGTGTGTGTGTGTGTGTGTGTGTGTAGCATGTGATTACTAAAAGCTGGCTCTTCCATGGGAGGCATCCTACGTTAATGTGTTTATAAATCAGTGCTTTATGAGCTGGGAAAACGTTCCTGCCAGAGCTAGGACACATCTGCATGAACCAAGCCAAGCAAATTCCCAATCCACAGGGCTGGAAACTCCTACACGTGGCTGCCCCGGGAAGGTAGCTTGGGCAGACAGCCGAACTCTTTAATGCTTCCCGGATCTTGGCTTTCATTTTTTTAAATTGGTTTTTAAAATATTAAAGCAATTAATATAAGACAATTCAAAAGCAGCAATCTTGGGCCAGTGTTGTGACCCAGTAGGTTACATCATGGCCTGTGATGCCAACAAGTTTATGTTAGTGCTTCCGGGCTGTCTGGGGCTGCCACGCTCAGCCATGCGCCTTGTTGGTCATCCTTTCCGTAGCCAGTCTCACTGGCAGCTTTTTACCTCTGCTCTGACTGCAGAGCATATTTGTCGCATTCTTTGCTTATTTTGTATTTCACAGCAAGATTCTCTGTGTCCAGCTTCCCACGGGGAGCTGGACAGGTGGATCTGTTAATCCTGCCCACAAAGAATCTTCCAACTTACATGACGCAACCTGGTTCCTAAAAGCACATTTCTGACGGGGCAGGGAGACTGGTTCATGCCTCTTTACCACAAACTCCTGACACTCATCATAATGGACTGGAGCCGAGCGCCCCAGAGCCTCTTGGCAGGAATGCTGAGAACTCTTCCGGGATTCCCACACGCAAACCAGCATGCCTTGCTACACACGTAGGATCTCCAGGACTCTGGGTGACATCACTTTCAACAACATGATCAACACTTTCAGGTGGGACTTTCCCAAAAGACAAAGCAGGCTTTTTTGTAGAAGAAAAACAAACAAAAAAGTATTTATTTATTTATTGGAAAGGCAGAGTGACAGACAAAGAGATGGGGTGGAGGGGAGTCTTCCACCTGCTGGTTTGTTCCCTAAATGGCCACATGGCCAAGATTAGGCGGGACCGAAGCCAAGACCCTGAAACTGCATCCAGGTTTCCCATGTAGGGAGCAGAGTCCCAAACACTTGGGGCACCTTCCACTGCCTTCCCAGGCACATTAACAGAGAGCTGGGTCAGAATGGAGCAGCTGGGACTTGAACCAACATCCCAATATAGGATGGGATATCAGTGTTGCAGGCAGGGGGTTAACTCCTTGCACCACAATGTCAGCCCCAGACAAAACAATCTTGGGAACAAAATCAGCCATGTCAGGAGTGGTGGAGTCTGTCCAGGGACCTCTGTGAGTTGCAAAAGTAGTTACCTAGTAGCACTAACAAACACCCTGAAGCACAGCCAAGGCTGTAACTCTGTCCTTGGTGACACAGGCCTCTTGTTTTGGCAATGTAGAGGACTGCACGGACTTCAATTTAAAAAATAATATCTGGGGTCAGCGCTGTGGTGTAGTGGGTAAGGCCACCGCCTGCAGTGCCGGCATCCCATATGAGCACTGGTTCGAGTCCCGGCTGCTCAACTTCCCATCCAGCTCTCTGCTATGACCTGGGAAAGCAGTAGAAGATGGCCCAAGTTCTTGGGCCCCTGTACCCTCATGGGAGACCAGGAAGAGGCTCCTGGCTCCTGGCTTTGGATCAGCTCAGCTTTGGCCATTGCTGCCATTTGGGGAGTGAACCAGCAGATGGAAGATCTCTCCCTATGGCTCTGCCTCTCTCTGTAACTCTGTATTTCAAATAAATAAAATAAATCTTTTCTAAAAATAACATCCCATATATTAGATTCTATAAGTTCACTTGTTTACTCAAGATACTTCTTAGATTCAACCCTTTTGGGGACTGGCTAATGTTATCATCAGTGAACATAGATTAGTCTGACTTACCCAGGTCTTTCCCTAACTGTATTCTGATTTTACAACTTCATAAAGGACCAAGAGAGCTGCATTCATTCGTGAATGCAATGAACCACTTGGTGGCCCTTCGCAGAGCTTTGGTATCAATGACGGACATACTTGGACTACAGAGCCCAAAGCCTGAGCTCAAGCCCTTTGCTGGTGGGGAAACTAGAACAGTCATTTCTACCAAAATCATTTTCCATGGCCTGAAAATAGCACTATTTCATGGATTGCAAATTTTTTTTTTCAATTAATAGCAAAACAACAAGAAGTGAATGTGTGCTAGTCCCCCGTGTGCACAGAGCAGATCTGTCTCCTTTCAGAAATGTTATCTATGAGTGTACAGCAGGACATGTGCTTTAAAATCCTTGTCTGGGGGCCTGCAATGTGCCATAGTGGGCAAAGCTGCCGCCTGAAAGGCAACATCCCACATGGGCGCCGATTCCCGGCTGTTCCACTTCTGATCCAGCTCCCTGCTAATGACCTGGAAAAAGTGGAAGATGGCCCAAGAGCTTAGGTCCCTGCCACCAACTTGGGAGACCTGGAAGAAGCTCCTGGCTCCTGGCTTGGCCTGGCTCACCCCTGGCTGTTGTGGCTACTTGGGGAGTAAACCAGCAGATGGAAGATATCTCTCTCTTTCTCTCTGTCTCTCCCTCTCTCTCTGTAACTTTGACTTTCACATAAATAAATAATTCTTTTTTTAAATTAAAAAGATATGTCTGTATGTAAGTAAAAACAATCTTATTCCCCAAAATCTCTTCTTAAAAGAGTTACTTGGACTCTCTTCTGTAGCCTTCTAAACCAGCAGCCCTCCTCTGTTTCTCCAAGGAGACTGCAAGGCTTCTGGTCACCCCCAGTAACTCCTTGGTTTCTGCAAGCCCACTGGTGAGCATCCTGCTGTGATTAAAAACATTTGCCAGCTGGCAAGTGACATCTTCAAGCCCCTGCATCAAAGAATATTAAAATTACA